CAAAAGGGTCAATGCAGTCTAGACTTTCTCCACATCTTGCACTGCCAACCCACCTCAACCCCCATCCTGCATATTGCTTTAGGATACAAGAGGGATGTGCCCCCTCCTCCTTATTCCCACTCACCTCAAGCCCCTGCCTGCTTTGGTCCAGTCCCCCATTTCCCACCTACAATAGCATCTCCCGTCACCGTAATCTTTCTATTTCACAAGCCCATCCCTCGGGGTTAAGAGGTCTGGAGATGGAGACGGGATTTGTCTGTCAATTGACAGCACTGCTGTTATGCTTTCTGGCTGACCAGGTTTACACTGCATGGTCAGAGAGGTTTTGAAGAAAAATGACTAGCTGTTTGTCCAAACATTAATGTAAGCTGCCCCCCCCCAGTTATTATCATTATTATTGTTTAAATCTGGCCTTATTGAGCCTCTGTGTGGGCGTGAGGCTCCAAAAAAACAGGTTGAAAATAACTACACGGTTGATGTTTCCTGCTTTTATACTGCTGCTACTACTGTGAAATGCTTAAATGCTTGCTATTTTGGGAAACCAAAATAAATAGAAGAAAATATGAATAAAGAAGCATTAAAAATACAATACTTGCCTCTTTTGCCTTAACTTGTTAGCAAACTAATGATGTGGTGACTGTGAAAATCTGTCAATACAGGTGTTTAAAATAACAATCTGCTCATTAGTCAGTGTTTATATCAATACATTTTTCACTTGATTTGAGCCCAAGCAAATTATTGTAACAGATAAATATCAGCCACTGACAATGGGAAGTGTCAAAGAGCCAGTATCCATTACCTTAAAATGCAAAATTATATATATATATATATGTATAAAACACACACACACGAAATGCAAATGAATACAAAATTAGAATACAGTGAGGAAAAAAATCAAACATTTAAGACTGCCTGAAGCAATTTGACACCAGAGAGGGAAATCTACTACTTACCTGAGAACATGTGCTGACTAAAAGCAAAAACAATGAAATTAGAAACAAAAACAAAGCCTGTTGATGCTTTTGTATTTGCATGTGTTTATGTATTTATTTATTTTTGAATCTGCTGTTACAGCATATGTAAAACAAAACAAAGAAAGACTTGGCATCTTAGACATACATTACAAATGTAATGCATAGGCAGCAGAACAGTCTGGTGATCACTGACGGGTTAACAGATACAGCCCACAGTGTCAATGTTTTAATTAAGCCCTATTTCAGCTGACTTATTAACCATCATTGGTGGATTTTGTGCTGGTTACAGGCCAGAAGCACTTTTCTCAGCATGTGAATTATACCCGATTTGCTCGTGCGAGCTCACTTCAAACATTTTCTCATTATGTTTCCACTAAGATCCAAGAAAACATCTGCATTAAATGCCAGTCATGAGTATAAGTTCTGCTTTATCCACAAACTTCATGACTCGGACATTTTTTTCGTTTGTTTTTATTAGATCATTGGTTTTTATTGTACTACGAAATAAAAATCACAAGCATTTGCATTCGGTGCGTTCAAGAATGGAAGCGAATAATCAGCGTGCCGCATTTCAAAAAGCAAAAAGCCACTATTCGTTACAACTATAGGATAACAAAGGACAACTAAATGTAAGCACGCAGAGGTCATTTCTGAAGGCCATGGAGAAAAACGGTGGGTTTTTTTCCTTTCCAAAAATTTTCTACAAAGCAAGCAACGACAAAGGAAACAAGGGACAAGGGGGAAAAAAAATCTTCATTGAATATTCATTAACCGGTGCCTAGGTGTATACATGGCTCTTAACCACTCTTGTTTATGACTTAAGGACTTGTAGTACTGACCTTAGTTTAACACAGCAGCAGATACCAAATTAACCTCTAGCCTCCACAGGGCTAGCCATGCCCTGCTAACAAGCAACCTGTCTAGACACACAAGAAGTACTTTATGATTCCACCTCTCACAATCCCCCTCTCTCTCTCCCTCTCTCTCTCTTTTTCTCTCAACCTCTCTGTCTCTGCTAACACGTACTGGCACATCCTCGTGCCCTCTATCCTCTTCTATCTTCCACCTCACCATTTCATCCCTATTTCCCCCCCTACACCATTTTTCATGTACCTCCCAAGCTGTGCAGTGTTTGGGTCACGCACCCTAACAACCAGAGTTTTTATCAGATGGTAGACTTTCTCTTATCCTTCACAGCACAGCTTACCAATAGCATAATAATAATAATGATAATAATAAAAAAATAACAATACTATTACTAATATTGCATTATACGTTTTTAAAGCTATAATGCACTTTATTTATTTCTCTTTTAAAACAGAGAAATTCCACAGTGATTTAAAAATGTGTAAACCCAAAGTGAGAAACACTCATAAACTCACTTTAACATATAAGTCAACTTCTGTAGCTTTTAAAGATTTCCACTGAGATTGAAATTTATTACATTAGGTTAAGCTTTTGGATTAAATTAAATGAGACTTTGTCCATATGATTAATGTAGAAAATTATGCATAGTGCAGTAAAATAGTATCAAAGTCAAACATGTGAGATTCAGAGTAGTTTCATGAACATTTAGGGAGAAGCATATTTACCACTGTGTTGCATCACCTGTACATTTTACAACACAACCTTCTTGAAATTAAATTGCAGTAATTTAGACCACAGAGTCCTTCCTTCTTCTTGCTTGATACATAATTTCCGTTGTTTGGGTTCTCTGGAATTGTTTGAGGTTTTTTTTATTTTGTATTTTGCAATGATCCATTTTTTTTTAGTGTGTAACAAAAACAAACAGGAAGGACTGTTACTCTTTATGATGAATAGTCGTAGAGGCGATGAAGCCTATCTCAGCTACCACAGGGTGAGTGGCAGGGTACACTCTGGACAGGTCGGTAGCCTGTCACAGACAACCAGGCATGCAGTTAGTGCAGTTAACTGGTCATTCAAAATTGCCCATAGGTGTGAATGTGAGAGCGAATGGTTGACAAATAATATTTTACTGAAAATGGATCCTGAGCCCATGCAGTGATTTCTACTAAAGCATCATGTCTATTTTTAATGTCGTGCTAGCTGAGAGCCCATAGATCATGGCCCTTCAGCAAAAGTTTTGGTGAAATCTTTATCGATTCTCTGATTGATTAATTGCTGTTATGTACCACAAATGACCACAGATTTTTTGCAGACTCAACATTTCCAGTATGCTTATTTTTTGCCCATGTACCTGATAGTTTTATAATATTTTCAGTTTAGACTCTGATATGTTGCCTTTGTATTTTTCTCAATTATAGGCTTTGAACGATTTGCAAATTACTGCATTTTGTTCTTGTTTACATTTTACAGCATCCAAACTTTTGTGAAACCATAGGTTATAATATATATTGATGTCACCCATTAAGTTTAACTCAATTCTGCCTCAGGATCATATGCATTTTAAAACAAGGCAAGCACCTAAAGGATTTTTTTATATTTTAATTTAACAACACAAAGAGGTATGACGTACCAACATCATTATCTCTGTTGTTATTAGTAATATTCAACCAGAAATTGCTCTGATTTCTTCTTATTTGGGTAGTGATTTTCTGTGCTGTAACCAGAATCCAGATTCAAATGTTTTGTTTTCATCATGCTCCTTCAGTCTAGGATGGTAATTATGTGAAATATGACATATAGAAAACGCACAGATCTAAATTATTGACTAACAGCAGGAAAATAAATAGCTGATATATATATATATAAAAAAAACACCCAGCACGCCCCTGCGGGCGGTTTATCCTTCAAGCTCGGGTCCTCTACCAGAGGCCTGGGAGCTTGAGGGTCCTGCGCAGTATCTTAGCTGTTCCCAGGACTGCGCTCTTCTGGACAGAGATCTCCGATGTTGTTCCCGGGATTTGCTGGAGCCACTCGCCTAGGAGTCACCGCACCTAGTGCTCCGATTACCACGGGGACCACCGTTACCTTCACCCTCCACATCCTCTCGAGCTCTTCTCTGAGCCCTTGGTATTTCTCCAGCTTCTCGTGTTCCTTCTTCTTGATATTGCTGTCATTCAGAACCGCTACATCGATCACTACGGCCGCCTTCTTCTATATATATATATATATATATATATATATAATTTTGCTGGACTAAAATTCATATTTCCTTTTTTTCACAATCTTCTCTTTGCACATCAACTGTGATGGCTGGGACCAAAAGTAACGGTGATGCTGAACACAAGGCTACAGTGTTGTAAGAGTCTTAAACACATAAAACACCGCATGCTCTGAGGAAGGTATTTGATCCCTTACAGATTCCTTTTTTCCCCTCTTTTTTTTGCCACTTTGGCACACTTTCATGTTTCAGATAAACAAACAAATTGTAATTTTGCACAAAGGTAACCTGAGTAAATATGAAATGTGGTTTGATTTTATTGATTAAGGGAAAAGACTATCGAAAGCTGGCCCTGCTTGAAACATTTATTTTCCCAAAACCTAAAAACTGCCTGTGGCACCTTGGCTCTCACTGGGGTTCGCTGGAGTCCCAAAGCCTTAGAAATAGCTTTGTAACGCTTTCCAGACTGAAAGACGTCACTGACTTTGTTTCTTATCAATTCTTGAAATTTATTTATTTTTTTTAGATCAAGGAATGAGGAATGGTGTGTTGCTTTTTGAAATCTTTTACCTTTTACACTTTGTCAGACAGCTTCTACTTAAGTGATTTCTTGATTCAGCAGGTCTGGCAGTAACCAGCCCTGGCTGTGACTAGGGAAAAGTTAGCAGTTAACTCATGACTTAACAAGGGGGGATTATTTTTTAGGGGGGATTAAAGGACCAGGTAGCTTTAGAAGCTTTTTTTCCTATAACAAATGAAATCATAATTTAAAAACTGTATTTTGTATTTACTCAAGTTATCTTTGTTTACCTGAAAAATGTAAATGTGACAAATATGCAAAAAAAAAAAAGAGGCAAAAATACAGAAGGCTCAGGCAAACGTTTAATCACAAAACTATAGCTACTTTGTTGCCAGTTTGATAGCTGATTATGTGATTAGCGATCAAGCATTTAAGTTTTTTGTCCTCAGCCGCTTTCCGTACAGAACACGCTTGTGATTGGTCAAACTGACGTCCATGCTAAATACAATTGTCTGGAAAACGTCGGTCTGGTGAGTGAAATGCTAACAAACATATTGCTGCTGCATATAAAATTAAAGGGTTTCTTCTTGTGTTGTTGGGTGCAATAAAATGTAAGCATGCTTTTCACAAAGACAGCGACCCTCGCTGCGCAGATTCACGGGAAAATAGTCGGTTAGCAGGTTAGTTATACTCGTTAGCTAGCTAGCCGCTAACGATACTAGCCTGTTTGCGTTAGGAAATCGTTACTATTACAGACATGAACACGAGTTAGCTTTTGTTACGCTAATGTAGCTCCATGAAATAAATCGCTACTATAGTATCTAATGCTCATCTTCCATCCTTTCAGACCACAGTCAAAATGAGCCTGAGGAAGCAGACCCCGAGTGACTTTCTGAAGCAGATCATTGGCAGACCTGTTGTGGTCAAACTGAACTCTGGTGTCGATTATAGAGGTACGTAACAGCTTAGCCACTTGCCCCCCCCCCTACTGATCGGTAAGTAATGACTTTAAAGGAAAACACGGTGTGTTTGTGTACCTGCAGGTGTTCTGGCCTGTTTAGATGGTTACATGAACATCGCCATAGAGCAGACAGAGGAGTATGTCAACGGGCAACTCAAGAACAAATATGGCGATGCCTTCCTAAGAGGAAACAATGGTAAGCATGTCCCTTTTATGTAGACTTTGGTATTTAAGGCAGTATAGGTCTTCTGTAAGAAGACTGAAGTGCAGAATTAATATGCTAAACCTAAGGAAATGCTGTGCAGCTGTGACAGAGATGATAAAATAGATTAAAAATAAACAAATAAATGCAGGTTTATGTTTTTGAGGCCATCAGGTTTTTCTCTGAATGTCTGAAACTGGAACTCTTTCATGACAGTTGAAAGGAGACGAAAATATGACAAACACAGGTGAGGAGCGCAGATTAAAGTGTGATCTAAAAAGGTTGTCAAATAGCCAACTTGCCCAGAAAAGTAACCTGCTCTGTAGGATGTTCCTCTCAAAACAGGAAGCTGTGGTCTGTCTGATAATGACTCACATTCAGTGCTTGCTTATTAATTCCGTTTAAATGAGGGCATACATTATGAATGGCACAACTTAATGGTGCCATAACCTTTTAGCTATGTTCTGTTCTAACACAACTCCTTTTTTACTTGTAAAATAAAAGTGTACACAGCTCCAGTAAGCTGTACAGTACAAGTCAGTTGTGAAGAGTAACCAGAACCCTGAAACTGTAAAACTGAACTCAGAAATGTGTTTTATTATTTATTTTTTTTATTTATACCAGTACTTTTTTTTTCCCTCTTTAAACTGTGGAAAAGGTCTCTCGCCTTCTTGAAAGTATTGTGAGGGTTAGCCAAATGGTGATAATTAGTTAATGATAAAAAAAAATCCCACTCAAATTAAATTGGTCTTCAAATTAAACTTTTTGCCTGCATTGATTTTTCGAAGTACATCATTATATGATAATAATCAGTAGATAAACTGTTAATGACAGTAGCTGTAAGCTGATGCCCGAGCTGATTTATTAAGATATTTTTAACTCACTAATTATTGTTAAAACAACACATTGTTAACACAGCTCTTGGGAACTGCCCTTTTTCACTCGTTGTCAGTTCAATATTGCATTTTCTTGTGTGTCTTGCTATATTTTTATGAAACTTTGTATTAATATTCTCCATGTTGATCAGCATAGACAGACTTGAACTTAAACTGTACAATGGCTTTGTACAGTGTTTGCCTCTTTTTGATTTCCTATTTTTTTTTGTGTTTGTCACACTTAAATGTTTCAGATTAAACTAATTTAAATACTAGACAAAGATAACACAAGTAAACACAAAGTGCAGTTTCTAAATGAAGGTGTTTATTATTAGGAGAGAGAAAAATCCAAACCTACATGGTCCTGTGTGAAAAAGTGATTGCCCCCCCTAAACCTGTTGGGCCACCCCTAGCAGCAACAACTGCAGTCAAGTGCTTGCGATAACTGGCAGTGAGTCTTTTCCCGCACTGTGGAGGAATTTTGGCCCACTCATCTTTGCAGTGGATCTTTGTTTAAGTTCAGCCACCTTGGAGGCTTTTCAAGCATGAACTGCCTTTTTTAAGGTCATGCCACAGCATCTCAATCGGATTCAGGTCAGGACTTTGACTAGGCCACTCCAGAGACTTCATTTTGTTTTTCTTAAGCCATTCAGAGGTGAACTTGCTGGTGTATTTTGAATCATTCTCCCAACTCTGCTTCAGCTTGAGGTAATGAACAGGTGGCCGGACGGCAGAATTCATGGTTCCATTTACCACAGCAAGCCTCTGGGTCCTGAGGTAGCCTCAGACCATCACACTAACACCTTTTCACTGTTGGTATGACGTTCCTTTTCTAAAATGCTGTGTTCGCTTCATGCATGATCCATAAGGTTCAACTTTTGTCTCGTCAGTCCAGAGAGTATTATCCCTAAAGTTTTGGGGATCATCAAAATGTTTTCTGAGGCCGTTCCATGTTTTCGCCATTTGTGGATAATAGCTCTCATTGTGGTTCACTGGAGTCATACATCTCAAGAAATGGCTTTAAACCCTTTTCAAGACCAAGAGGTCTTTGTTTCTCATGTCTTCCTGAATTTGGATTCCGACATGTGCCTGGCTTTTGAGGATATTTTTGGTCTACTCCACTTTACATGATTTCTTGATTGAGAACAGGCGTGATACTAGTCAGACTAAACGCCTTCATTTGGAAATTTGTGTTTACTTGTGTTATTGTTGCTTAATATTTACATTTGTTTGATGATCTAAAACAGCAAACATTAAAAAAAAAAAAGGAAATCAAGAAGGGGACAAACACTTTTTCACACCACTGAAACTGTCCTGACACAGAGATTTCATGTTTAATCACTGGTATGCCCCTTTTTTTTAAATTTTTTTTTTTTATGAGAATTGGCTCATTGTAAGGCTCTTGTTTGCAGAGATAGTTTTAATATATTCTGTATTCACCACAGTAGTCGGAACATTTTTTTTTAACTGTATTGTTTACATCTTCATCTCTCTGTCTGCATTTTCCAGACACCAGGCATGCACTGTATCCAGTGTGTGATTTGATCTCGAATGTGAGTCATGCAGGCCGGTGTTTCAGGCCGCAGATAGTGTTATTTTTAGTCAAAATAACCAGTACAACAAACTATACAGATTATCTTTGAGGGGAAAAAATGTGGAACGTGGATGCTGCAGGGGGTCAAGGTTTAACATAGAATTTGCTAAATCATCATCAGCAGCACATTTTCTTGTTACTGGAATTATTGTTTTTTCTTTGGGATTTGTTTCTGTGGAATAACTTCTGTGTTTGGGGCTGCGCATTCAGACTGTTGTGAGGTGCAGTAGCTATTCACATAAAAAAATAAAAACAAAACACACAATGGCTCCTCTGTTAAAGACATTTAAGAAAAAAAACATTTTGCAGTGGAGCCAGACTATAATTTATAACGGCTTCTAAATAAAATAAATTAAAGACGAGAGAAACACCCTTCAACAATGTTGTGAGCATTGATGTTACACAATTTAACCAGCAGATGGCGCTCTTCAGCATCTCTCCTGGCAGTACAGGGTGTTTCCAACAACCAGCTGATTCGAGCAGTCGGGTGGAGTGTAAATGAATAACTACACACAAAAAAATGTTAGGGGAATATGTTTATTTTGTGTGTCTGAAAGGAAATAAAAAATATCATCCGACATACAGGATTTTTAAGTCACCAGATGTCTGTGTCGATCTTAAAAATCCTACATTAGCCTGCCTCTGTTTTGCTTTACGCCGCCTCATTGAGTATTTTGTCTGTCAAATGAGATTTTCGGAATTTTGATTTATTTTTATGGATCATCGTGTATGAATAAGATCCCCCCCCTTCTTTTCTCCTGTCTCCTTCTTACAGTTCTGTACATCAGCACCCAGAAGAGGAAAGTCTAGTGAAGACCATTTTGAGTTCATTTAATTTTTTCAGTTTTTAATAATGTTTCAGAAGACGACTGTCATACGTTTTTGGTTCTGTAAAGCTTGAGAAGCGTTTGTTTTGTGAAAGTGGACTATATGAATAAACTCTGAGTTTCGATTTATGTCTGACTCGTTGAACGTCATTTACACATATTGGTGTTATTATCACAAGGAAAACAACTATAGCTTCGCACATTTACCGGATATGGTCCAATCTAACTTTTTCCTAGCAGGAAAACTAAGAATTTAACACAAACCTGCGTTTTCCTCACTCAGAAGGGCTTTAATGTTTAAGTAAATAAAAGGTGGTTAAGAAAGCTGGTGAATTTCTTTTGGCTCTGTCCAAACCTGCAAATTTTAAACTATTTGTAGAGATGCATCATCTGGTGTGGCTTTTATTTCCCATTTGGTGCCATGGAAACAAAGAAATGTTCAATGTAAAAACAAACTGAACTGTTTTTGAACACTTAGCCAGCACAAAATTGATGTGACTCAACAGATGAACATAGCTCACTGCTATACAAGCAAATGTCCTGTATTTACCAGTAGCAGTCAATGATGAAAGTGCTTTCTGACTGATATATCCATACATGCTTAATGATTTTAATAATTGTCATTTAAATCTTAAATGGCTTCTTAGACTTCCCCCTTGCTCGTGGGGAAGTCTGACTGTGGAAGACGAATGATCTATTCTTTTTGTCCTTTTAGTGAAATCGCTCGCTCACAGTTTATCCCCGGAGCAAGCGGAGGCATCAAATCTACCACTGTTTTCCCAGAAGGCTTCAAAAGGATTAGAACATAATTTTGTAATTTGTCAGTCCTAATGTGCTAATTTTGTAATTGATCTTGATGCGACTGGCCTGCAGAAACCCATTACTGAATGGCTCGTGTACAAATGCACTCATCATTACACATAATCTGACAATCGGCCGCTTTATAATTTCAAATAAAACGCTTCAAAACAAGAATTTATAAACAAAAGCTCCTGTTGTGAGGCTCATTTAGCTTCAGTCTCTGGCTCTTTGGTTTGCAAATTGATCACAAAGATTTAGCTCAATATGACATCATGCTTTGATTGCTTTGTGCGCATAGATAGATATATAAATATATATATTTTTTAAACCCCTACATCTGAACTTTGCTGGTGACTGTGTTGCAAAATACACTTGTTGATCACTTAATGCGCCGTCACAGATTGAATATCTACCTGTGAAAGAAAAAATGTGCCATGCAAATATGTATCACCGACCAACAAAGAGTACAAAGACTGCAGGACCAATCTATAAATGGTGCCACCTGCAGGCTATGTCAGGCTGCATTAGCATGTAAACAGATCTGTCAGATCAACTCTGACTGCCTACTGCTGCAGTCTTCCATGTTGTAATGCTTTTAAAAATGTCTCGGAGCGAACAGGCCTGCTTTATTTATTTATTTATTTATTTATTTATTTTTTAAATCATCCGTGACTGCATAGGTGTTCTTTGTTCAGTCAGGTTTGGATTGGCTCTGCTGTGTTTTGCCCTGTGAAAATCAATGCGGTGGCACATGCAGGGAATTGGAAGTTTATTCCATTTCTGCGTCTGGCCTGTGGTCATTTAGCAAATGAGTTCAAAAGTGGCATCACCTCATTACGCTAAGATAAGAATGCTATAAATATATGATTCATTAGTTTCTTAATGAGAATGCTGTAGCGTGGAGGCATTGGAAGAAGGGTGGGGTTGGGGGTGGGTGGGGGATTCTTTTTCGTCCAAGGATGGATTTTCTTTTTTTTTTTTTGAGAGCCTTGTTTTCCAACCTGTACATGCGCACTCTGGCCCCTGGAAGGAGACAAAAGGCTGCCAAGGTCAGGCCTGACTTGAGAATGAAGGACGCGTTATTGATCAAACTCTGGCGAGCTGCAGCTGTAAGAGAGGGAATGTTGGAGGGAGATTGAGCTGCAACACAGACACGAAACACAGGCGGACATAGGCGCTGAGTGACATATATATACACACACAAAGAAAGGCACGGCACACAGCGCAACACACAAAGAATCATTATGGCACTTGGTGAGGGTTAGTGCAGGCAAATATTTACCCACTGGAATCATAACTGAGCCGCTGGCCGTGTGGCCTCACAGGGAACCCAATTAATACCATTCACACAAATGACCTGGTGGGAGACATCGTGCTCTCGGACTGTGAGCTTTTTTTTTTGTTGTTTGTTTTAAAAACTCTTGAATCAATGCAGGATCTTCTTCATCTTGCATGTGCATGCATTTGTCCTTTAAAACCCTCTGCAGAACAAAACTGTTTTTCTTTTAGATCACTGAACACCCAAAATCCACCTCCTTTTTTATTTTACATTTCATTTGAAGACACTTCATTCCGTCGTCCAGGCTTACTTTGCGTAGAGCGCTGGTCCCCACTTGCCCGATCGCAGCGGGCTGACGGAGGATGCTGCAGTGGCTCGCTGTTGACGTGTGGAGGTGAGTGATGGAGGGGAGAGGACAAAGGAGGGTAGAATAGGTGACAGCCTTGTTATGTAGGAGAGAAAGCCAAGGGGGGGCAGACTCAAGTCTTACAGCACCACCAGCTGCCAGAGCTACAAAACTACAGTGGAGACGACATGGGATGAGGGAGGGAGGGGAAAGTGGAGTATGACTTTGACCCTGACTGATCACTGCAGCATGACTGTCTAGCCTTTTCACAAGGGATCAAAGGAAGACAAGGACAACCTGAGATTCTGTTTTATAACATTTGGCTGTGCAATGTGGAACTTTTTATATGAATGGTTGATAAAGAGTGTTTTTCTTTTGTTTGTAAAAAATATATACACAAAAATATTCAATAACTTTAACTAAGGTGGCTCTTCCTGCACATTTACCACATTTCCGCTGCATCTACCGCCTGCACGTGTAGATGCGACCAGCTATTTGTTTTTGTGTGTGTAAAGAGATCGCCCTCCTCACATTGTATTAGGATGTGAACTTGACCTGCTTTGACCTCTGCCTGACAGCCTGTCGTGTGTTTAGGATGTAAATGATGGCGCTGACCTCACACTCAGCGGCTCCGCTCTCACGTTTCGCAGGCTGGGTCAGAGGTGCCATTTGGAAAGTGCAGAATAAACAAACACCTTAGAAACAGCATGGCGGTGGCTGACAAATTTAAATACGTTCCTCTGATTAATACGCTGAATGTAAGCTGCACGTTAACTGATTATTCCATGAATCAGTAATGGGAAACATGATTTTTATAATTCTGCCCCTCCACATCCCCCACAGTGAAGCAGCTAAGATATGATTGAAGTGTATACTTGAGGCTTTGATTCAAGGGAATTCATAAACTATTGCATTAACTGTTTAAGCATTGCACTCATTTCTTCCTCAATTTTCAGGCCTGAAAGTAAACCATCAGAGCTTTATGACAGGTTTCACCGCAAATTAAGAAGTGGGACTTCGATACGTTCCCTAACCCTAACCCTAGGCATTACCATTAAAGTGAAAAATCTAAAAAGGCTTGAAGAAAGATGGCAGAAACTCTTGCAAGCTGATGGAGAATAAGTAAAGTGACGATATCAACATTTCCTCTGTAAATACAAACCTCTTCACAACAGCTGGTCAAGCCTGTGGACGTTGAAAGAGACACCTTCATTAATGTAAACAGAAGGTTTCCAACAAAGTGCAAATAACTGGTATGTAAAAAGAGCAGAAAGGCTGGATTAGATTTTTTGCTAGATTATAAAAAGGCCTGTCTAGTTCTTGAAAAAGGTTATTTGTCAGCTAAAGTTAAGATTGTCTTGTATCCGAGTAAGTGAAAAAGAAGAGAAAGAAGGAGCTATCATCATCTGTCAACCATGGTAACACACTGTAATGACACGTGCATGTATAGTGCCAATGAAACTGGGTCTGTGGTGTTTGCTGATTATGTGAGCCTGTACAGCTACAGCTTCTGCTCAGGTTCAACCAAATGTTGAAAAGACTTAAAGCAAAGAAGTGGAAGTTTGTTAACAGGCTGGTCACTGGCTGCAAAGGTTTGTGTCCAAGACTCAATAATATTCCTCATATTTATACACTATGTTGGTTTGAGCCTGTACAAATGCAGACAGTGCAAAAACTAAACGATTAACACAGTTTTGTTTTTTTTGTTAAGCGAATTATGTTTTTATGCTTCATTTCAAATCCACTGTGAATGTGGTTGAAGCAAAAACAATATACATGCTGAGTCTTGAAAACACATCCATTCAGACAATGTATCAGCAGAAAAAAGGTGTGCATTACTTATGTGTTGATCTGCGAGCTTCTCAGAATCGCTTCCTTGTCTTTCAGGAACCTTCATCCACGTCCAAGTTTGACGGCTGTTTTGATCCTAATTGAGTGTGAAGGTCTGTGCAAGCCTGTGTTGTTCTGCAACCCCTAGGCTCTTTATTTAGCCTCGAGGACAGTCAGCCATGGCCAGAAATGCGACCCCTGACCTTCTTAACTGGAAGAATTCTATTTCCAGCATGGACAGGGTCTTCTGTGATTTATCTTCCCCCAAAACAGCCCGATGCAGATGGCAAAGTTAGCGGAGTGTGACTAGGTGCTCTTCAGGACGCTAGAGAACAGCTCTTTGGCTCTCGGTGTGCTGCATGTGTACGCTATGAAGAGTAAAAGCTTTATTAAGGAAGGCAGGAAAAGTCTTGAATGATCCAGTAGCACGGTCCATGTGAGTCCTTGAACCTTGGTCCCTAAAAGATTCTGCAGCTGTCCTGCAACAGTAGGGTCTATTTTGGAAACGCACTCACTTACATGTTAATCGTACTGTAGCACTGACCGTGACCTGACCCACTTACAGCTCAATAAGCTGTATGGATATGAATACAAAGCGCATCATCACTAGTCTAATCGACAGGCCAAAAACAGGTTTGTTAGTTTTGCGTTCTGTTGTCCCTCTTAGTGAACTTTTTCTGTGCCTTTGTCAGTAAAAACAGGCGAAGCTTCGGGCTAAAAATGTGTGATCCTCAAGCAAACTCCTTTAATCCATAAAAATAAATAATTAGGTAAGTAAAATAAAACTTTTATTCTTCTATAATAAGTGTTTAACTAAACAGCTCTGCTGCCATATTGCTGAACTTTCCTGACACGAAAGGTATTTGTAATTTT